GCATCTATAAAAAAAAATTATATTGATATGTTTATTTTTGAAAAAGTTACGGCAGTTTTTAGTAAAAAAAATTGAAAAAATCAGCGATTTTTAAATTTGTAATTTTTTTGGAGATTTCCTCCATTTACGGGGAACGAGGGAAATATATAATAATTTGCTTTCCTTAAATTAAATTTCTTGAACAATTTTTTTTGGATAAATAAACGCTGAAAACTATTTTCACACATTTAAACGTGAAAACGTTTTTTGATAATATCGTTCTAATAAGAATAAGGTTTTTTTATCATTCTTAATCTATACATATGGTCAAAATAATTTTAGATGCATGGGTTTATTAGATAATGAGGCGACCGGTATTACCCACTGACCATAATTCCCTCAGTCACCCTTACACTCGAGAAATGATTGATACTAAAAATAACTGCCTTCACACTTCACTACCGGTCAGAATTTTAATTTGTTAATATTGCTTCTACTTCAATAGCTTCTAAAATATTATTCTAAAAGATAATATCAACCATTCATTTTATGGAATAAATTCATTATCAATAAAGAAGATAGTAAATTATGACACTCCTATAAGTTATAAATATATAAAAATATATTTTCTTTTCCTATAGGGTACAGTGTACCCTGGGTACACTCAATAGCATTTGTGTATTTATATCTTGTTCACTATAATAATACTGTAATAGTAAAATAATATAAAAAGTTTAGTGATGGTTGGAGAGTAGATGTGCTAAAGCATCATCACCCCCATTAATACCTTTGAACACGATCATGATTAATCACGATGAAATACCGAGACGCGTCTAGAATCTTAATTATAATAATAATGATCAATATTACATATTTCTATTTTCTGAACTTAACACACTACAGTGGGTAGCTTTTAATAGTTAGAGAGTCAAAGTTTTTTCTAGTGAAATGGTATACGGAACCAGATTTAATAAGTTCTTAATTAATTTAACCGAAAATAACACTTGGATTTTCTAGTGAAACAACTAGCTCATTAATTTTTAACTTACTTTCTTCATTTTTGTTATTGACTGGGATACTACATGCTTTCAAAATAAATAAATAAATATAGATATTTATATATATAAATAATATATAATAATTTATATTATCCTATATTTCCATAATAGATTTAATTTGAGAGGCATTTATTGTATAATACAATATATATATATTATACAATGTGTCCATTAATAATCGAATATCTTTTTTTTTACGCTACCTCTTAATCTTTTTTTAATAGTCAAAAAAATGAGCTGTGCAAAATTTGGGACCGATCTATAAAGGTTAACCCGTGCTTCCGGGCTTATTAAGTTGAGTTGAAAAGGCAAATTTAATAGAAATAACTGATCTATGTCTCATAAAATTTTTTTTGCTTAACTTAGAATTATGAAAGTAAAACTCAGATAAAGGAAATTTTACAAGAACTTGAAAGGTTCATCATATATACTTAAATTGCCAAAATATATGAANAAGGTTCATCATATATACTTAAATTGCCAAAATATATGAATTTTACTGGTAAACATAATATTTATGGAACTTTTGACTTTAGGAAGGTAAATATTTGACTTACGAGTTTTTTGCTAATAACCTTTTTTATGTAAAACAATTACATGTATAATTTCTTTCCTATAAAATTCTACGTAAAAATGATATATTTTGAGATAAATCACAATAACTGAAAAACTACCCTTTTGATCGAATTTTCAACCCTCTTGCGGCACGTGTTAACGTCAACCTATCAGGACAAAATTTTGCACAGCTTATTTTTATATGTATTAGAGCAATTTTTTGGTGCGCGTGAATCGAATTTTGAAAATTTGTATTTTAAGGACCACTCTTATATATATATAATCATTCATTTCTCAATTAAAAAGTATAATTTTTTTTCCTGCACAGTTCATTCTATTTTGGTATGTTGCTACAACTATTGAGGATTAAAAATTGTTAGCTTAGAGGGAGAAATTATGTGAAGCTTCAGTAATACTTTATCTTATTTAACCTAATTAATATTGAAGAAGAAATTCAACAGAGATTTATAGAATTTTTATTTAATTCATTTTCCTACCCTATTTAAATTCCAAATTCAATTTTATTAATTTAAAAAATTGATTTAGTTTTAACTTACGTTCTTCCTTTTGATTGTCGCCTGGAATATCATATGATATCACATATAAAAATTAATTGATATATTTATTAAAGTGTCACTCTAAATTTTTTAATTTTTTAAATTTTGGGATTCTTCTGTCTCATTCCCAAATTTGTGGGTATACATATAAAAAATGGCTCTGAAAAATTTAACTGATAAGTTTAACCAATGCCGACTTGTGGTTGAAAATCTATCGAAAGGGGTAATTTTTTAGTTTTTAGCAAATTACTAGTAAATTAGCGTTCTCAAATATATTACTGAAACTAAATTGTTGATCTAATTGTTTTGTATAAAACCATATGTGATATGATCTTATATTTCATTCAAATATTATTTAAACTTAATTTAATAAACAATTAGATAACAATTAAGTTTTAATAATAAAATATGTTTTTTTGCTAATTTACGAGTTTATTGCTAAAAACTAAAAAAATTATACCTTACAGTCATTAACGCCATTAATTAAAAATTAATTAAATTTTAACTTACGTTCTTCAATTTGGTCGTCGCCTTGGATACAACATGCTTTCAAAATACATACATAAATATATTTATAAAATATTAGCAATTATACTATCCTATTATTCAATAATAGATTTAATTAGAGTGGTATTTATTATATCTTATATTTCTTATTGCGTGTTTTCTATTACAACGTCACGACAGATAAAAAGAATCGTAATAAAAATTACACCGATTTATATACTATGAAATATTTTTAACGTATAAAACCAAATTATTCTATTGTATTTAAAGTGGGTAGACATTGTCACATATAATTCAACGCCACTAAAATGTTGTATTTGGATATATGAAATCAACATTTCTATTTTACAAATTAAAAATCAAACTAAAACCAGTCTATTTTAGTTAATAATGTGAACTATATTTTTAATATAGATAATCTATACCCAATGTTAACCAATTTCAATAGTAATGAATAAAATTGATGATTTATTTTTAATTTACGTTTTTCATTTTGGTTATCAGCTTGGACACCATCTACTTACAAACGCATAAAAATATTACATATGAAATTCTATTATTCTCAAAATAAATACAATAGTGGAAACCTTTTTTTAATTTTTTTTTAGATTACTTTTAAAATCATCCTTTATAACTTATAGAGATATCAACTTTAATGTCAACGTACATAATTTATTATCTTGTTTAATAAATAATGATAAAATACGAAAATGACTTGTAGATAATAACATTTGTACCAGTCTTACGGAAACTATGTTTATTTGTAATCCTTGCTAAGTGGAAGAGTACGGCCGAGAAATGACTGATACTGAAAATAGCTGCACCCACACCTCACAACCAGACATAATTTTAATTTGTTAATAAATTCTGAAATATTGTTTTAAAAGATTGTTATCAACCAGTCATATTATCAATTAATTCATTATCATTAAATAATCTAATAAATTATGTACGTTGTTATTAAAAAAAAAAAAATTGACAATCCTATAAGTTTAAACATGTAATAATATTTTTTTTTCTATAAATTACATTCGATGACATTTGTGTATATATTATTNATAAATTACATTCGATGACATTTGTGTATTTATATATTATTCACTACATTGACACAAGTAAAATTGAAAAAAAAAACAGTTAGGGATGAGTGGTTCTACTAAAGCATCATCACCCGATAATACTTTTCAACACAATCTATAAAAAAGCCCAGGAAACGATTAGGATCGTATGTATAATAATAATGATCCGTTTAACATCCTTCTATTTCTCGATTTTAACATGTTACAGATGGTAGTGACACACTTTCACATGTTGGGGAGTCAAAGATAGTTCTTGGTTAAGTAAATGAAGAAGAAATTCAACAGAGATTTATAGAATTTTTATTTAATTCATTTTCCTACCATATTTAAATTCCAAATTCAATTTTATTAATTTAAAAAATTGATTTAGTTTTAACTTACGTTCTTCCTTTTGATTGTATAAAAACAATCTATTCTACTGTATTTTAAGTAGGTAGATATTATATCCTACGCCACTAAAATGTTGTATTATGAATTACGAAAACTATATTCCATTTTCTAAAACCATATAGCGTGTAAAACTTTTGTTCGTAAAATATAAATTGAACATTTCAATAATCTTAATTCAAAAAATTATTTTAAATTAATGAGTTAGTATAAATAAATTATAAATTACTAATAATCTCCTTTAAGAGACAAGGTAAAATTCTTTCAAAAATGTACAAAATCTCAAACCGTATTTCTATTACTACAAAAGTACATTATTTTTTTATCTCTCCCAAAAAAAATAAAATTAAAATATTTCTCGGTCTATTTTGTTTAAAAATATTTATTACCAGAAAAAAAAAACAAACACAAACTCAACAAGACTAGATAATTCTGTAAAATAATGAAAACATAATTAAAACTACAATGACTAATTATATCATATAATGTACAAACCATTTTTCTTTTTTATTCTTATTTTTAAATGTTATACTTCCACAATTTTCTTTGAACAAATGTCGTACCAAATATAATTAGCCTTTATAAAAGTGTCGTATTGAGCACAATTTAATAAGTAAACAATACAAATTTAATTATTTATTCTTTACAATATAAAAATTATACAAGGTGACTTTTCAACTATGATTTGAGACATATCTTTTTATATTTTATTTTTTCTTCTCAAAAGTTTATAGTATCCTATGTTCCATATTTTTCCAAAAAATAATTTTGTTCTATCCCCTCTCTCCCTTAAAATATTATTATTAACTTTATTTAATGAATAATAATATGTTTAACCAAATTAAATATTTGAATAAATAATTATTAAATAATAAAATAATTAATAATGATATTACTAAGAAGTTATCAACACTTAATTATAATAACTGGAAGGTGATGTGTATTTTTATTTCTAGATATTTATGAACCCGACTATTCTCCCGCCAAGGTATAAAAATTCTAATTAGCATTTATAAATTTAAAATAATGAAAGTGATGATATAAAAGTTATCGGCCGATCATATTTTTTAACATATGAACGATAAAACATAAATCGTTATAACATAATACGTTGGACGCACGCTGAAGAAGGGACAATGTCTGAACGATGTTCGAACCAATCATACACAAACGCCACGGGAGACCCAAAGACGGGTATCAGAGATTTTCACACTGTACCCAATACTCTGCTTAACAATAATTTTTTCGATTTACTTAAAGTAAAATAAATTAAAATAAAAATATATTCAATTATCTGCTTATAATACAAAATAGGTTATAATTTTATCGATAGATTTTGTATCTATTTAAAAAGTTTTTGAATAATCAACTGGTATAGTCAGATGAGGACAAAGGGGCACGTTACTTCCATTGACTGAGTCATTTAAATATTTTATCAAGTAATGTAATAATGTATAATATCATTAGTAAAAGTTATTTTTTGGTTGTCAATAATAATATGGGTTTATGAAATGTTAGTTGATATAATTGTCTTAAGAAATACAAGAGGCGAAGGAATAGTAGAGTTCTGCAGAGAAAATGGGATGATAATAACGAACACCAGATTTCTAAACCCCAAGAGAAGAATATATACATGGAAAATTCTAGGCGATATTACCTGCTACCAAATAGTACATAATGGTGAAAAATCGCTTTAAGAACCAAGTTAATTTCTGTAAAGCATACCCAAGTGCTGATTTTGACAGTGATAACAATCTAGTAATGGCGAAATGCAAACTCAGATATAAAAACCACAAAGGACAAAAGTACAACAAGACAAATTGACGCAACTTACGTCGCAAAAATGTGGTCGTGTAATATTATATTATTACTTATAAGTAGGGTGAAATAGAGAGTGCTTCTGAGAAAGGGTGACAAGCCCGAGGGTCTCCCCTCGTCGTACCGACCGCTTTGCATGTTGGACGACTTGGGGAAA